AAAAAATGCTGTAAATCTTGTTTAGATGCTCTAGGAACATTTCTGCATCAAAAAGAAAATTTTGAAAAAATGTCGCTTAAATTTTTTTGGCGGTTAGGGCTCGAAATTTTCAATGAACTCAAAGAATTTCCTGGTATTTTTATTTTAAATAGGTATATGTACTTCACAGTTCATCACATTCTGGAGTCAAATTTCCCACCAGTCACAATGGATTGGCCCTTATGCTATTGAGTAATCGAATTAAAAACTTCTCCGTCTCTGCAGTACCTCCGCAAATTTATTGCTCAGAGTAAATATGTATAGGAGTGTGTACCCTAACAAAGATAACATTTAGACCAATAACAATAAACAAAATGCAGGCGGCAGCAAATAATATATTAGGGTGGTCCAAAATACACGTAAAGTAAAGTCGGAATTTTTATGCTCTCACCGCCTAGGATTGATCTATACCGAAAAAAATATACCACTATTTTTTATTTTAAAATCAAAAATATCTAGAGGTCGCTCAAATATTTCCAAAAAGTTTTCCATGTATTTTGTATAGGGAAAAAATAACTTTTCGTAGAAATGGTACAGAATTCTTAAAAATCAATATTTTTTTCTCGGGGAACTCTGTTTCTCTGCAGCGGGTTCCCAACAATAATACTCATTAGTTTATTAAACCATTTTTTCATCGCAACTATAATTTATAGGTCCGCCAAGAACCCACAAAAACCCTGAAAAGTTCAATGGGGGACCAATAAAAATGGTTAGTATTAAAAAATGGTTAAATAAATAATTGGGTATTATTATTGAAAGTCTCCGGAAGATAACCAGAGTTTTCCGATCGAAAAATATTGATTTTCAAGAATTCTATACCATTTCTACGAAAAGTTTGTTTTTTCCCATATAAAAATAAATGGAAAACTTTGAGCGCTTTGAGCGGCCTCTAAATATTTTTTGATTTCAAAATAAACAATATATATATATATCTATATCTCATGAGCCAATGACCGGATCTAAACCGGATTAGCATGGGACCACCTCTGAGACACTACCTTTCTGATGCAAAAAGAATTATCGGTTGACGTTGTCCAAAGTTATGCGGTAACTACATAAAAAACAAAAAAGAAAAGATATTCCGACGAACTGATAACCTCCTCCTTTTTTGGAAGTCGGTTAAAAAATGGGGGTGTATTTTTTTTGATATAGAACAATCCTAGGGGGTGAGAGCATTACTATTCCGACTTAGCTGTTTTGGACCACCCTAATGCACATACATACATATACAATGATACGGTGTTACGGTCTAATGTACATACATACATACATATTAGGGCGGGTCAAAATGTGTATCTGGGGGTTTTTGAGGTCGAGGAATCCATTTCTGGCATTAATTTTTTATTTTTTTTGAAGGCCGCCAGAGGGCGCTTCCGTACTTTTTTTGATGTTAACGCCTTTTTTTGCGAAAATCGACAACGTGGTTGCGAAAATCCACAAAATTTGACTTTCTCATAATGCAATTTCAATTTTTAAATAGCCTAAAATGTTCAGCGTTGAAAATTAAGGGGGAAGGGAGGAGAATTCATGCACAACTTATATTGATTTTATTCAATTTAGAACACAAAATTCGTTTTTTTGTTTTTCTTATTTAGTATATATTTTTTTATTCAAAAATTCAACTTAAAAGATAAAAACATATGAAATGTAAATGAAAAAAAAAAACATCCAATTTCTAATATTTCAAGTTTTAAACACGTATAACGTATTTTTTTTTTAATATTATGTTGGCAATACTGTTTATCGACATATTGAATGACAAATGACATGTGCGACAGCATGAAATGACCCAAATAATCATAATCGCGATGTGCCTCTGTTGTTTTTTTTGGGCCGCTACAAATCGACCCGCCCTAATATACATACATATGTAATAAGATTAAGTAGAACAACAATATCAATAATGGAAACAACAATCGGTACTACGAAAAAAATGTGTTTAGGCGGCATATTGAAACAAGTAAATAATTTTATTTGTTGGTGTTGGCAATTTTAATTTGCGGGCAAAAACGAAATTGCAAGCTAATTTATTTGCGAGCACTAAAAATTGTATACACACAAGCACTACAACAATATATCTACATACATGTAAATACATACATACATATGTACATATGTACACATGCCTATGTATGTAATCACCAACTTCAAAGACGTTAGCGCTGGCGAAGCGCATAGCGGCGTTGCTGGCGTAGTCTAGAACCTAGATAATAAAACAAGTAAATTTAAAAAAAAAACAGCTTAAACAATAAAAATTACAGCAACAAGAGCAACATCAAGCTAAACAATTATGTTCACTAAGTGACTGTTATAAAATATGTATATACATACTCGTGCAGGGGCGTTGAGTTGTTGAAAACTTCGGAGGGTGAGGGAGAGGCGTCACATCGTCGCGGTAGATGTGTTGATTTTTTCGTTCAAGCGGGAAACCCTTATGAAACGGTAAACATTTTTTGTAAGGGCAAACATTCGTATTTATGGATTTACGACTATGTAACTTTGGGTGTGCTTATTAGGAAGTATGGTAAAAAAGTAAGCATACATATGCAGATACCAAGCAGACTGAGGTAAATGAACTTAAAGAATAATAAAAAATAAAATAAAAAATATTGCTTGCTAGAAAATTATACACGCGTTATAAAAACTTTTAAAAAATCGATCAGAATATTATTTTTTGTAACAAAAACCTATCAGAGTTTTAACTAACGTCACTGATAAATGTGAAAAAATTATGTATGGAATCACGTAGTCACGTTGACACCTTTATCGGCAGTTTATCACGTTTTATGAATACCCCTATCGCGATCTTAACAAAGGTATATTTTTATACATATATTTTCACAGGAGTCTATCTGAAATAATTTTGAGTTTTTTTTTAAGATATGCATTTCTTTAATAAACTTATATATTTTCATATATATATTCATCAGAAATAACTCTTTTTTATTTATTTCACAAAAGGCGTTTACAAATATTTTTTACCGAAATCTACCCGAAATAGTTTTTTTTTTAATTTTGACGAAAGTATCAGAAATAATTTTATGCATTTTTTTGTCATAAAAAGAAAATTAATGAAACAATTTTTGTGTTGGTGTTGGTTGATTTTTCCGACAGGGTGGTAAGATGATTTATTTTGGAACGAATTTCCGTCATCCCTTGTCAAGTTTGGTTTGCAGACAAACCGGTTTCGGCGTTGTGCCATCTTCAGTGTCATTTTTCGTTCTGTAATTTTTATTAATTTTTCATAAAAACCTGTCAGAAATATGTTTTATATTTTTACATAAGTTTATCTGAAATATCTTTTTTATTGCTTCCACAAAAGTCTTTTTTTTTGTCATAAAAAGAAAATTAATGAAACAATTTTTATTAATTTTTCATAAAAACCTGTCAGAAATATGTTTTATATTTTTACATAAGTTTATCCGAAATATCTTTTTTATTGCTTCCACAAAAGTCTACCAGAAATAGATTTTTATAATTTTTTTCACTTAAATCAAATTAAATGAAATAATTTTGCGTTTTTTAACACAAAAATCTTTTGAAAACAATTTCATGTTTTATGTAAAAATAATTTTAAAAAATTTTCTTACGTATTTTTATCTTCGAAAAAACCTTAGAAATCGTTTTCATAAGGTTTTAGAAAAATTTTTCATAAAAATTTTTTATAATTATTTGGCACTAAAATTTAAGAGAAACATTTTTTGTATGTAGTGTTTCTTCGAGAAAATCTATCAGAAATAGTTTTTTAACGATAATCTACCAGATATAATGTTTTATCTTTGAATTTTTTTACATACATATTTCAGGATAAATTTTTATATATTTTTACGGAAGTTTTCAAAAATAAAAAAATAAAAAATTTCATAAACTAGAATTTTTCACAAAAATGTGTTATTAATATTTCTTTTAAATTCTTTTATCACACTTAAATCTACATTTGGAAGCCGTACAGTGTCGTATTTCCTAATAAGCAGCTTTGCTATAAGCACAAATGACAAAAATGTTTAGCCATGAAAAATTATTTTGAAAAATAAATAATTTTTTTTACGATCCTATTGTGGAATACTAAGCTTTTGGATTGCTAAACAAAGCTTTATGAAAGCGAAAGTAATAAGTGTTACATTTTTAAGGTAATATTCTAATTATGAATATTTGCTAAAACCAAAAAAGTTAACTGTTATACTATTATTTGAACTTGCAAGCTACCGGAAAAATTGTACGTGTAATTAAATACAGATTTTTAGTGTTGCGTTGATTTTATTAGTTATTAAATACACTTTTCGACAGAAAAACCTTGGAATAGTAAAGTGTACACGCAAAACTTTCATCAATAAACTGTTATACTGTCTTACAAACTTTTATACTCCTTTGACCTCTTTGTTTTTTTTTTTGCATGAAAAGTCACAATTATATTAAGGTTTGCGTCGGATATAATTAATGTACAAATTGAGGCTTATTAAATTTTTTAAATTCAGTTGAGCTTTTGCTTTTTCAAAAATAAACTCAAACAGACCCATTTTGGTGGGAGTTAACGGATTATTACTTCATTTTACTACAGCCCCTCGTATAAGGGAATTATCTTTGAAGTCGCTTTCTACTTAAAGCGATGTATATAAGAATTTGATTTTTGACTAAAAAGTACAGACTCTAACCAACTGTTAAATAAAATTGTGATGAAGCTGAGTAAATCTTCCTGAAATGTTTCCTAGTTTCCATTTTCGAAAAAATTTAGAAAAAAATTCCCCACTGAAACTGTGTGCGACTACACCTCTGACTTGTTGAAATTTCTGCGGTCGCCAATCAGTCAGCTTTTCGTCATCGAATACGGAAACTTTATCAAGCATTAAATATAGCGTGGCGGAGTCTATATACTTCACATAATTTTTTAACTTTCAATTTATGTAAAACAAGATTTTAAATGTTATTGCTGTGACTAATAAATTTTAACATAATATTTGCAGCTTTTCAACACACTTCGGCAGCGTAATCGAGACCGACCCAAAAGTAAGTGAAAAAATTTGAGTAGCGACGTAAAAGAGTGAGCAATAAAAAGTTGCTGATAAGAAAAAAAGAAATAAATCCCACCAAGTAAAACCATTGAAAAGCAAAAGTAGTGGAAACGTGAAGTTTGGAAAAAATTAGAATGGCAAAAGTTGCACTAAAGTAACAAAAAAAAAAATAATAAATACTAGATCAATAAAAAAAATCCTTAAACTGTCAGTTTTGTATCACACCATTAACTACATCGCTGTGTTAGCAAATTCGCGCAAAAGAAAATTTTGTCCGAACAGCAAAAATTGCGTGGAAATATATTTTACGCAAAATCAGCGTAAAATAAACAGCAGAAAAAAGAAAAAAAATTCTGCAAATATTTTGATTGAAAAGTGAAAATTGACCGACAGACAGACGACTGACTATTTAATAGCATTTTGTGTGTGTGGTTCTGTATGCAGCTCATAAGCGCCGGTTAAACGTCTTGTTTGTTGTTGGTTAATTGCTAATGTGCAGCAGCGCGCCTCAACAGCACCAGCGCCAGCGGCTAAACCGACAGCTGATGACGACGACGACAACAACAAAAACAGCAACAACGATATAATATTAATTTTAAAGCAATTAAGTAGCATGCAAAAGACGAGAGATTAGCAGTAAAAAAAAAAATTGTGAAAAAGTAGTGCAAAAAAGGTGAGTTGGATAATAAACGAAAAGGTGTGTAGAAAAAGTGGCGCCATTGTAGAGTAGAGTAGTGAAAACAAAAATAATAAAAACAAATTTTAAAACAAGCAAAGCAGACCAGCAGCAGTGTTGCTGACAGCAACGTGACTTTCAGCGAGCAGAAAAAGAGGTAAGATTGTTTTTTTTACTAGTAAAATGTGAAAACTGTTATACAAGCTACCAATTTCTGGTTGCTATGCGCAAAGTTTTTTAGGCTGCAATGACCTCAATATATAATTATAATTAATGATATGCACACATATATTTCGCGAAAAAAACTGTTATACAATCTGTCATACAAATAATAAAATGGGAAAGTTTCTGGCTTTTGTGGAACTTTAGTGATCATAATGCCTCTGGTAGAATTAAAAGACCGCAGAAAAACTGTTATACTACGTTATGACGTAGAATGTAACTCTTTGGGTGGAAAGTTTTTGTCATTTATGCATTTAAAATGGTCGATATTAGTTTTTAAGAAGCGAGATTAGCCGAAGGAACTGTTATACAAACTGTTATACTGATTATATAACTAGATACCTTATGAATTTAGGAACATTTAAAATGCCCATGCATTCTAGCATCTTTCAAAATTTCGAAATTTATAGAAACTGTTATACTTATCATATAAGTGAAAGTTTTGGGCATTTATGCATCTTTACGAGTTTCTAATAAGCAAAAAAATTAAAAGCGAGCAAATTTTTGTATAAAAACTTTTGTAAAGACTCGCTTTAATATCATACCATAGATTGAAGATGAGGATTCTTGAATTCATGATTTTTATGTTTTCATTAAAAACCTTTGGAGGAAGCAAGTAACTACAAATTAATCGAGGAAATTCTTATAAAAACTGTTATATACACCCCAAAAGACAATATCTTAAGTTTAACAGAACCAAGAGCAACAGATTGAACGTAGAAACTGCTGTAAAATCTGTTATACATATCGTTTAAGTGAAAGCTTTAGTCAATTATGCATCTATCATGCTAATTATAAGTAACAAAAAGAAATAAGCTAATCTAAAAAACTGTTATACAACTCTTATACACAGAATATAAGTGAAATTTTACTGCATTTATGCATCTTCCGTTGCCCATAGGATTAAATGAGTCGAAAAATGGGAAAGAAAAAAACTGCTACACAAACTGTAAAACTGTTATAGGAAATGAATGAAAATGCATGCATCTGTGCATCTTTTGTGTTTGCTGTGATTCTTTCAAACGTGAAAAAGGCAGCTTAATCGAAATAGCTCTTATAAACACTGTTATACACATCGTGATATGGAATAAAACACTTATAAATAGAATTTTTTAAGTATCTGTGAAGCTGTGGTTGCTACATTCTTTTTTATAAAGGTGAAAAGCAACATATTATTTGAAGATACTGTTATACACATCCTTAGAATGGAAATTTAATGCATATACGCTTAGTTTTTGGGCTTTATAGCGGTTTTCAGTAGAAAAAGGCCACAGTTAGAGCAACAAATCTCAAATTGCTACACAAAATGTTATACTAGTCATAAAATGTAAGGCATTTGTTTAACTTCCGTGTTCGTCGAAACGAATAATTCGTAGATTAACTGAAACAAACTGTTATACAAAATATTATGCAAGTCGGTAAATGCAATATGAAGCATATCAGTGAATGATTTCAGGCATCTTTTTCGCATTCGTGTTCGTCGAAACGTATTTCAACTGAACAATTTTTTGAAAAAAAAACTGTTATACAAAAATTGGCCTTTATAAATTTTATATTTTTTCGCTAAGAAAAATATCAGAAAAACTGTTATTGAAAGTGTTATACATACATACGAAACTTAGTAGCCTTAGTACAGAGAAAAGAGAGGCATCAGTTTGAAAATCTTGGACATATCCAGGACAGTATTCATTCCTCAGCTGTAGTAGCAGTCAAGGCATCGCTCAAAATAAATTTTTAATTCCACTTCCAACAGTTCTTTGCTTCAGCAAACTTCGTTTATTTACACGTTGCTTTTATGGACACAGTGTCTATTAGAACGTTAACAAAAAAAAGTAAGGAAAACTATAAAACACAACAACTGTCAACTAAATACAATGTAAAGGAAAAAATAACAATGCTGATCGCCTCAAGCATACTAACGGCAAATTTAAACAAAGCATACAAGTGGGTGAGGACGTGAGCGCGTGAGTCTGTGCGAGCGCCGGTGACTCAATGATTTGCCGAATGAGTACCTTACAAGACTTTTTTATACTCATAGTACTGCAACGCTTTCAATATGAGCGCAACTGTCAGCGCGTCGCTTTACCGCTTTGATGACTGCGCTCTGACATTTGTTGAATGGTGACGTTTGGCTGTAAATTGTTTTCCATTTGGTTGTTATTTATTAACGGTTTTTGTTTTTTTTTCCACAGGCTTTTTTTGCATATTTTGTGCTGTTTTGTGATGTTGTGCAAGCATGCTAAATGCCACGCTGATAGACAACAACGAAAATGTAACTGACAGCAGACGGCCAAGCGAGATAGCATTAAATGAAATGTAACAAGCAGAGCGCAAAGTAAAGTGGAAGATCAATGTTTGAAATTTGTTGAGAATAAAAAAGAAAAACCAAAATATGTATATTAAAAATTAAAATCATTAAGCAAAATATTCAAGAAATTCCAAAGAAAAATATGTACATTTGTATGTATGCATGTCAGCCAAATTGCATTCGAATGAAAATTGTGCCAAAAAAGTGGCGCTAGATGATGAATCTCAGAAAAATGCCAGATTGCCTAGATAGGCGACAAAGTGCACTTCTTTCTTTCTCCTCTCTCCCCTCTCTATATTTACTTGTAGCGGTAAGTGCGTTTCCTTTTGGCGTCTTATTTACATACATAATTAGCTTACGGCTGGGGGCGGTGGTGGCCTTTTTCTCTTCATGAACGTGGATGGTGTACTAGCTTGAGAGCTCTGGCCTAAGGTACGAATATTATAAAAGCGCGAAGAGTTGGGGGTACCAGAGCGAGGGTGTTTTTAAGTTTTTAAATCTCCTGGTTGTATTTTAAATTTTGTTGCTCTTCTATATAAAAATTTAATGTAGGAAAAAAGGAATACAAATTCTTAATTTTTTGAACGTAATTAGAAGGAACATTTTACAAGCAATTAAAATAAAAAATTAAAACTTAGTTTTTTTCCTTTTTTATTTTTATGATACAAGAATCTATTAAAATATCTTGAAACGATTTTTTTTTATTCAAATAAATATAATTTCTCAAGGACTTTGAAAATATGATAAGAAAAATTATAAAAAAGAAAATGTATGTATGAAAATGAGTTGAAAAAATTATGTGTCTATTTCTACAAATTTTGTTCTAATGAAAATTGAAAAAATTTTTTCAATAATTTTTTTTTTACGTAAGTAAACTTTTAGAAAAACAAGATTTAAAAATTATGATTTAAAAAAAATTTAAAGAAAAAATTTTAAATTATCTTGTAGTCTTTTTTATTTTTTATGATTCATTGAAACATCAAAAATACTAAAGAGTAAAATGATTTAATTAATAAAAATTTAGTTTTAGTAGGTTTGTAACAAATCGGGAATTCAAAATTATAAAAAGTTCAAATTTTATATCGCGTTTTATTTTGTAGAAAAAATCTTGGCTTCTCATTTTCCCCCTCTTGCTGTTTGTGCGAAGAGGGCAATACATGGCAACATTCTTTGGTAGAAAAATCCATGCTAGTTTAAAAATTGTTTTTGCAAATTTTGTTGTCATTTTTTAGTTTTGTTTATCTTCTGAATACAATTTTGTTGCAACATAATTTCTAAAATAATCGTTTAGTTTTTAATTTTTAGTAGGGTTTTAGAAAACTAATCGGACAAAAGTCACGATTTACAAAAGTTCTAAATTTAAATCTTATTTTTAAATATTTTTTTTTATTTTTTATGATTTAAGAAAATTTTTTAACTTATATATAACGTAAATTTTATTACGCTACGGATTAAACATATGAGGATGGAAAAATTATGATTAAAAAAAACAACTTAAAAATTGTGAGCAAAAAAATGAAAATGTTTAAAAATGTTGACATTTTTTACACATTTTTGTTATAAATTTTGTAAAAAAATGTTTATAAGCATAATAGTTTAAATAAAAACTTCGTATATATTTGTACTCCGTTATTGTAAAATTTAAAAAATGTATGCTTTTAATTTACATAAATTTCGTTTCGTCAAGTTGTTTTTTTTAATAGAAATGGCACTTAGAAAGAAATTAAAATTTATTTGTTTTCTTATTCTTTCTTGTATCTTGCTTCTCTTTCGCATAAAATTTCATCTTGCCATACATATTTTCCAAAAATAACTGCTTCATCATTGTTTTATTATGATTTGCTAAAAATTTTAAATAGATTTTTTTTTTATTTTTTAGTCTTTAATGTTTTTATGATTAATATAGAATTTAAAAATTCTTTAAAAGTGAAATTACTTTTTTATTTAAATTATATTTTACCGGGATTTTAAGGATAAAGAAATAATTCTAAAAAAATGTAATTCATTGGTTAAATAATTTAATTTTCCTACAATTTTCGTATTTTCTTAAATTTAGACTTTTTTACTTTTGATACATTTTTAGAAACCACCATTTTAAGAGTTATGATTAAAAAAATATTTAAATTTATTTATTTCTATATTTTATTTATGAA